AAAAAAAAAAAAAAAAAAAAAAAAAAAGAAAAAAAAAAATTATTGGAGCGGCAGGGAGTCGAACCCTGGACTTCATCGAAGGTCGGTCCTATTCCCATCATGTCAACTCTACAAGAACATTGAAGAGGAGGGCCTGATGAATGGATGCAAACGAGGCACTCTACCACTGAGTTACAGCCCCGAGGATGTTTTGTTGTTTTTTGTTGAGTTGGATGAGGGATTTAAGGGTTATGTATAGAGAGGTGGGGTGGGAGGGGATAGAGGTGGGGTGGTGGAGTGGGGGGGAGATGGTTGGGTGGGAGTGGTGGATGATGGGAGATGGTGGGTGGGGTAAGGGAATGGGTATGCGGTACGGGTAAGGGAACGGGTAAGGGAATGGGTAAGGGAACGGGTATGCGGTACGGGTAAGGGAACGGGTAAGGGGACGGGTAAGGGAACGGGAACAGGATTGAATCCTATCCGGAACTGAACTGAGGTAGGTAATATCAATATCAAGACTAATATACCTACCTAGGTATCTACCTACTACCTATCTTTCCTTCCTTCATTTCTTCATTCCCTCATTCTATCTATCCATCCATCCATCCATCCATCTATCTATCTATACCTACCTACCTCCTAATCAAAACAAAAATAAAAAATAAACAAACAAATACGTACCCAGCATTAAAAAATACAATGATATCTACATCACAATCCCATCACACCCACCTACATCACACCTGCATTACAATCATCATGAAATTAAATCCAATTAAATCAAATTGAATTGAATTAAATAGATCGAGTTGCTGATACTTATCTAACTAATCTAACTTATTAATTACTATTATAGGTATTATATATAGCGTTAAGGACGCGGAATCTGAATGATTTATGGATGGTGCGGTGGTATGTTGTGTTATGTAGGTAGGTAGGTAGGTAGGTAGATGCAGGATCGGGAAGATTTGGAAGGGTTTTTGGCTGGTTGGGGGAATATATCTACGTATAGAATACCTAGATATTGAAGTAGATATACGTATCTACTTCAACATCTACTTTTCCATCCTATTCCATCTCCATCTCTATCCTATTCCATCTCCATCCTATCCCATCTACTCCATCCTATCCCCATCCTATCCTATCTATTTCCACCCATCTATTTCACCCCATCTATTTCAAACTACTCTACCTTCCTACCTATTTCCATACCTCCCTCCCAACTCCCAACTCCCAACTCCCAACTCCCAACTCCCAACTCCCAACTCCCAACTCCCAACTCCCAACTCCCAACTCCCAACTCCCAACTCCCAACTCCCAACTCCCAACTCCCAACTCCCAACTCCAAACTCATAAGAGTGAGTAGAAAACATACCAACTATCCCAACTATCCCAACTATCCCAACTATACCAACTATCCCAACTATCCCAACTATACTAGGTAACTATACTATTCCCATAGACTTTCTATTTGGATATATATATATATATATATATATATATATATATATTAATCGAATTTGATCTCAAGGAGGTATTTTATAATCATCTTTAAACAAAACTTTCTTAATATTTGGAAGTAGTGGTTGAGGATGATATAAATTGGAGTTAGGAGTGTTGGATGTAGGTGTTGTATCGGGGGGGGGGGGGAGAATCGGGTTTGATTTAGAGGAGGCAGTGTATATTTATTTTTGGATAAAACTTCTTGGGCATTTGGGGGTTGTGGTTGAGGATAATTTAAAGAAGGATGATATGAGTTGAGGTTAGGACCGTTGGATGTAGACTTTTTATTAGGATGATGTATTGATTGGGTTTAATCCAGAGGACGCATTAGCAGGGGGAGATCCAAAGGAGGTTAATATATACCATTGAATGAAACCATTCTAAAACAATATTATCTCTTTCAAAGGGAAGTCTCCACCTTTCGAGTTCTAATCCTTAACATATTGCGGCAATAAAAATATCATCTAATATCATCTAATATCATTGATAAATTGCACAGAAATTCAAGGTTGAATCCCGAAGAATCGAGGATTGGGGTGTTCCTTCATTATCATTGTATGATAGATACCTACTCAATTGGTAAATCGCATTCTTCATAAACCGATCCGGAAGAAAGGAACATCTAAGATTCCAAATCACGGCATCATAGAGGTACCTAGGTAACAATTGCAAAGATACTAGGTAATCGATTTCTGGCCTCCAAAAACCAAGGAAGTAGGTAGCGAGGCAAAGATAGCCGTGAGGTTTGGTCCTGCACGGAAGTACATAGCTCAATTGATAAAAAGATGAAAGAAATTTCTCGATTGGCGAGATGTAATATTTCAGGAAGAATGGGAAATGTCATGACTTTTGAGTTTTTACTACTCTGGGTATATAAGATATTTAGGTAAAGAACTGGATTCAATTCATGGGGATAGGAGGAAGATTCCTTCTTTCATGAATCATTGAGATAGGAGGAAGACTTCTTCCTTCCTCTACCCTTCCTCTACCCTTCCTCCATGAATTATATATCAGAGATATTTATCAAAGATATTGGTGTGGATTGATATAAGATATTTCCAATGGTAAGGTAATGAATGAATGTGTTTGACAAAATCACCTCGAATCAAAAAACGAAAAAGATTGAATTGGATTAGCATTCCCTTGTTCTTAACGAAGGTTCAATTAGATTATAGCCATCCATCCATATATTTGATATTCGAAAATGGTGTTGTCAAGTTCCTTGATGAAGAATAATTTTCAGAAGATGGATAAGGTTCCATTTGTACTGCCTCCATACACGCCTGTGCATTCATGCCCACCCGGCCAATTCCAAAATTTGTAATCGTAAACCTGACTCGTAAGGCATAAACAATTTTTCCAATTCGCCCAACCTGGAATTGAAGCTAGTAGATCGATTTACATTCAACTCCAACTCCAACTCCAACAATCACTCACCATTCAAGCAAGACCAGACCACCATCCTCAAGATGTCCATGTTTCGAGCCAAGAAGCTCGATCTCGGTTGTTTCATCAACATCAAAGTAATCCGCGATCACACCAAGCGACAAGTATACGCTGAGCATGAGACGGAAAGGTATGATATAGTCTTTACCATAAATTCTCATTCGCATCTTCGCGAGTCCTCGTTCTATTATCCGGCACATTCCAATTCCAATTGCAATTCCAATTCTCATTCAAGTTCTCATTGCAATTCCAATCACTCACTCACTCACCAAAAAACAAAAAAATACAAAAAACCCAACTAACCCATCACCCCCCACCACTCCAGACAAGCCCTCCGCTACATAATCCGCAACCTCTCGCTCCCGCCGCGCACGCGCTTCCAAGCCCAGCTCGAACTCACGCAGATGCACTGCTACACGCGGCCCACGCAGATCCGCAATCGCTGTATCTTGGGGGGCAAGGGTCGAGGTATCCTGAGGGATTTTAAGATGTCGAGGGTATGTGCTGTGCTGTGCTGTTTTTTTTTTGTTTTTTTTTTTGTTTTCGGGCGGATAGATGGCTGGCGGGCTTCGTAAAACTATCATACGCTACGGATTGGATTGGATTGGATTGGATTGAAGGAAGGTGGGAAGAAGGATGGAAGGGGGATCGAAGGGGGATGGATGAATGAATGAATGGGGTAGATGGATAGATAGGAAGAACTCGGCTGATCATAACCTACGTGGGATTACAGTATAACTTCCGAATGAATGCGTTATCTGGAGATTTACCGGGTGTAAAGAAGGCGAGTTGGTAAACGAACAAACGAACAAACGAACGGTGGTTGGTTGGTTGTTATGTTCAAATGCGGTGATGGAGCGTTCATGCGTTTAGAAGAGAGATTATCTATCTACTTATATTGGATGGATGGATGGGCCAGCGATAGATGGAGCGTCGAGGAAATTGGCCCTCGCATGACGAATGTACGAATACCTACCTACCTAGGCACCCATAGAGAAATAATGAGGAGTTGGACCGGTTGGACCGGTTGGTACGTAGTCAGCCATAACACATCCAGATCCAGGTGTGGGGATGCGATGAAGCTACCTACCTATCTAATAAGCTTCCATTGCCTCGTCCGTACCGGTACTATCTATGGTTAGGTAGGTAAGAAGTTAATTCCCAAGCGGGACGGGAGAAGCTGGCTTGGCTGGTCGAGGGCGTCGCGTCGATGGGAGATGGAAGATATAATGAATGAAGATTTAAGATACTCGATTTCTTATGATTATTTTTATTATTATTATTCTCTTGCCTACCTATATGAGAGTTTGTTATAAGAGTTCGTTATAAAAGTTTGTCATAAGAGTTTGTTATGAGAGTTTGTTATGAGAGTTTGTTATGAGAGTTCGTCATGAGAGTTCGTTTTTGTTATAAAGGTTCTAAGGGATCTGAATAGAATAGAATCCATGAAGCTGGAGATTTGGGAAAGAATTCGCTTGCTCTGGTCTGGTCTGGTCTGGTCTGATCTGGTCTGGTCTGGTGGCTACCTACTTCAATTCATCGTACCACCCACCCACCCACCTCACCACGGATTGAATAGGTAGACAATATGATATCTCAAACCTCGGTAGGTATATGCGTATATGCGTATATGCGCATAGCATATTAATATTAATATTAAATCGGTATGTTCGTAGGTGGGTAGGTAGGTAGGTAGGTAGGTAGGTGGGTAGGTAGGTAGGTAGGTATATAAAAATGAACTTCACTGATTTGGATGGATAATTGGAAATGATTAATTAACTTATAACCCCACCTGGATACCTGATACCTGATACTACAAACCCTCTTTACCTAGGTATCTTGATACACTAAAGTTTGATACACTAAAGTTTAAGAATTGAGAGAATCATTCCATTCAAAGCAAAGCAAAGTTGGATCGAACGAGTGACGGTTTTTGAAGATCGGAAAGAAAGCGTTTTGTGTTTGTGGATTCCTGCACGCGCTACTACTATCTTATCTGGGTATTGTTCTCCAGCTGCATGCATGCATGCATGCATGCATTTATTTATTTATCTGGATGGGTGGGTTCATATGACTATGACTATGACTACCTATGCCCGATCTCCATTCTCAATCTTCAGCTCCACTCCATCGCCTCTTTCCTCATCGCCGAATCCCTCATCCCCAAATCCCATATCCTCATCATCCGCCTCCCCATCATCCACCCTCACAAACGTGGGATTGACATACTCTCCCCCTTGCGCATCCCCATCC